CATTGCAACGTGGTTGTCTCTTTGCTTGTATCCTGCATTCGCGAGCGTTTCGCAGCCGGAAACTCTGTGGGTCATAGTCTCATCCTTCGCTTAACTCAAAGACATTTTCCTTCCAGCCGCGTGTGCAGATACTGGCTTCTGAGTCCGTTTTCAGTGCTTCGTCCAGGGTGACTATTAGAGAATCTCAGCTTCGCCGCGAAATTCGCTATGAGACAGCAAACGGAAGGTCTAATGGACATCCGTGTGTTCAACAAGATGACGAAGATACAGGAAATGAAGTTCTATATTCGTTCAATGACTGTTTCGGGTGTTCTCTAACTTTTATTTCCCTGGCGATCTTCTTCATTATCAGATGCATTCTGTTCTAGTTTGCACACGCGGTTAACGTTTAAGGTCACCCTATCGTTAAGTGCCGTGGCCAGATACTGCAATAGGAATGAAGTCATTACTTTTAGCCTATCTCTGATACTACGAAGTCTTCTTCCTCCTTCTAACGAGGAACATACGTATTTTGTAATGTATGTAAATTAAATTTCCTGTGGAGATGAAAGAACGGAATGTGAGATTTGCAGTGTTAAAAGTGTGCGTAATGAGTAACGAGTAACGGCGAAACGAGGAAACTTGCCATCACTGTCGATGACCGCCAATGCCGTAACCAGAGTTCTCTGACGAATTGCTGCCGAAAGACGATACTCGTCATCAAGGCTCGTACGAGAAGACGCGATGCGGCGTGGGGTAGTTAGAGGCTTCCTTCGGGACGCCAACAACTGGAACTCGTCGTGCCGTAAAACAGGCAAACAAGAGTTACAGCTGCGCGCTCCGTTTAACTGCGGAGCAGCACCAAATGCTAATACAGATCAAGAGGGAAAAAGTCCAAGGCTTCGTCGTTTGGTTTACCGCCATTTTGCTTTAGCCTCGCAGAAAATTAAAACGAGACCAATATCGCACTGAAAATATGGTTTTAAAACCGGAACTGATTTCATATCCAATCGACAGCTGACTTTCATAAGTCGTATATGAACTAGCTAACAACATCGTCCGAGACGCTACATGACAAAAAGGCTAAGTAAACAAAATTAACAATATGCAAAAATAGGAAAGCATTAGTAAAGACTACTTATAGTTAACAAAGAACAACCGTTATAACGTTTGAAACAGCGGCTTAAAAGCATTTGTATCAATTCCGCTTAGTTCGACTTCGTCGTCCCTGCTGATTGTTATCGGCGCTGTCGATGAACGGGCTCTGAGCAATTTTCTTCGCTACATTTAAGACCGAGTCCTACGGCAAGGTATCACCACTTTCCTCCGAGCTTGCAAATGATCAGCAGCAGATGAAAAACCCAGGAAAATGTCAGCAAATTTGACCCTCAGCTCTGTGGAACAATGAAATGAATACGAAACAAATTTTGCAGCATGAACGTCTTTTAAATGAAGTTTTAAGAGAAATGAGGCGTTGGTTCGAAATTGGATTCCATAAATATA